CGTCCCCAAATTTATAAGACGGCGGCGGTTGCGACCTGTCCGAGACCCAAGACCAAAAAGGAGGTGAGGCAGTTCCTGGGGCTGGCGGGATATTATAGAAGGTTTGTACCTAAGTATTCGGACCTCACCAGCCCGCTGACTGACCTCACTAAAAAGGAAGCACCAAACCCGATCCAGTGGACGGATCACCCGTTGGTATCTAGCATTGCAACCCTTCAAATTCAAGGTCATCCACAGGCCAGTGCGTAAGTAGGCCAAGTGCAAATGATAAACACCTGTGTCTTGTTTCAGTAATTGGTGTGGAGAGACCGGATAAAAAGGGCCACCTGGAACATGATGGGGGAGAGACTGACTGGGAACGCGAGCGACCCGGGGAGACGGGTGTAGATACACGGAAGCAAGTTGTGTTATGTTTGTTATGAGTTATTGACTGCGAGTCTGACAGCGCTGAATGAGCGCCGTGTTGTGTGCGGTGCCAGAGAAATTTAAATAAAGCTTGCGTCCCAGCAAGCCGACCCTGCCTTCTTCCTTCCACACTCCTGAACCTTTACTACATTGATGTTTTGGTATGTCTCGTTAGGGAGGGCAGCATAGTGTGTTTCAGAACATCACAGTTCTGTAACTCAGCCAACTCAAACTGATAAGAAGGCAGGGCTTCATCAATGTCGGCAGCAAAGGGGTTCTGGAAAAAGCTGATTTTTTTAGCGTGGACATGTAGCTCACGGAATCGCACGTCAAACTCCGCCTTCAGCATTTCCAGTGCTTCCACGGACTTTTCAGCTAGGAATGGAGCCACTGGTTTCTCTTTTGCTTTTGCACTTGTCCCACAAGCAGTGCTAGTTGCACCTCAAATGCTTTTATGTGGGAATACATGTCACATATTAGTTTCCCCTTGCCTTGGAGCTGCAAGTTGAGGCCGTTCAACATTTCTGTCACATCTGTTAAAAAGGCGAGGTCCCATTTCCATTCTGCGTCGATCAGTTCTGGGACAGTTTTGCCCTTTGTCAGAAGAAAGGCGTTGATTTCGGGTAACAGCTCGTAAAAACGCCTCAAAACTCTGCCCCGGCTTAAGGCCAAAAAAAATAGTTTCGCTTTCACAACGAAACACACAGCGTCTTCACGACATGGCGGCAGCAACAATACTACAGCGAGAATAAAAGTTACGCCTTCTTTCTTTGCGTGAACATTTGGGCGGCATCAAATCTTGCAAATCTTCCCACATAGTGACGTAGATATGTGGGGGAGTGTTAGAATGAGCCGTTTTAGGTAGGCGTGGTTGACTCTTAACTTTTATAAAGAATATCTCTTTGGATTTGAGACTTTAGTCTTTGCAACTTTACAGATCTTCTTTATGCACCAAGAGCTTGTAACACTCCAAAGAGAAAGGAAAAAGAACATTACAGTTCTGTAACTCAGCCAACTCAAACTGATAAGAAGGCAGGGCTTCATCAATGTCGGCAGCAAAGGGGTTCTGGAAAAAGCTGATTTTTTTAGCGTGGACATGTAGCTCACGGAATCGCACGTCAAACTCCGCCTTCAGCATTTCCAGTGCTTCCACTGACTTTTCAGCTAGGAATGGAGCCACTGGTTTCTCTTTTGCTTTTGCACTTGTCCCACAAGCAGTGCTAGTTGCACCTCAAATGCTTTTATGTGGGAATACATGTCACATATTAGTTTCCCCTTGCCTTGGAGCTGCAAGTTGAGGCCGTTCAACATTTCTGTCACATCTGTTAAAAAGGCGAGGTCCCATTTCCATTCTGCGTCGATCAGTTCTGGGACAGTTTTGCCCTTTGTCAGAAGAAAGGCGTTGATTTCGGGTAACAGCTCGTAAAAACGCCTCAAAACTCTGCCCCGGCTTAAGGCCAAAAAAAATAGTTTCGCTTTCACAACGAAACACACAGCGTCTTCACGACATGGCGGCAGCAACAATACTACAGCGAGAATAAAAGTTACGCCTTCTTTCTTTGCGTGAACATTTGGGCGGCATCAAATCTTGCAAATCTTCCCACATAGTGACGTAGATATGTGGGGGAGTGTTAGAATGAGCCGTTTTAGGTAGGCGTGGTTGACTCTTAACTTTTATAAAGAATATCTCTTTGGATTTGAGACTTTAGTCTTTGCAACTTTACAGATCTTCTTTATGCACCAAGAGCTTGTAACACTCCAAAGAGAAAGGAAAAATTGAAATCGCATCATATGACCCCTTTAACAAAATTTCATCAAAATTCAGTCAGCAAAATGTCCATTGTTTATTGTCAAGAGTGCAGTGATGTCTGAAGCACATTTTACAAATGTCACTTTCAAAGGTAATTACTAGGGGTGCTCCGATTGATTGGCTACCGATCACAATCGGCCGATAATCGATTTGGGATGACAAGCTGATGTCATCCCAAAACCTGCCCTGAGAGGTTTGGCGTGACATGCAGCGGCACCGTCTCAGTCTCTGTCCAGCACTGGTGAAATCATAATAATGCTTTAGGTGAGGTACAATTCATATTTCTTCATTAAATAACTTATAAAGTAATTTGAAAAAGTTTCTGTGAGACATAATTTCACAAAAAGCATTCACCGCGCGCGCTCTCTTTCGCTCTCAAAATGCAAATGGATTCTAATCACATCGCATCTGCACTATAAGGCTGCACAGTTGACACAGGACATGTCACTTGCACTATCGAGGCAGTGTCGCATCGTAACTAAAGTTTATAAATTGCATTTTTTCTTTTTAACTCTTGAATGGTTTAAACCATTCAACGCTCGTGTGCTTTCCTGGAGACCGTGCACTCATGCACACTCGCATATTTACCGCATTGTTTGCGGTAAATATGCATTGACACAAAAAAAATGTAGTAATTACACCATAAATGCATATAATTAAAGTCTACTGTGTTTCACAGTCAACACATAGGCTATGGCTTTTTGGCTAGGTTTAAAGGAAAAGAGCACTTTTAGATAAACAAGGCAATACTTTTAAAGTTCTTAGTTAAAGTTCTTTATGAACCACAGGATTGCTTGTAATAAAGATTTAAATGCAAAAGAAAAGGCAGTAGAGCTGACTGTTTCTGTCAATGGTAAGTTCTAATTTAGAATGTTTGTGTTAAAGTAAGAAAAGTAGTTTCAATGTTTTGCTTTAGCAACTTAATATATAAGTCTAGAAGTAAATGCAAAAGTAAAAAGCATTGAATAATTGATGAAAGATTGTATTACATGTACTGTGAAAAACAATAATCACAATATTGAAAATGCCTTTTAAGTAACAATGTTTGGATTTAAAATCAAAATAATGGATAGATGTTGTGTTTGTGATAAACAGCCACAGATCAGGAGCAGACTCCTGTGTGAAAGCACAGTCCATGCTGCTTCTGTACCACACATATGGACTACATACACACTGCAAATGGAGTATGTGTGAACCTTACATACAGCTCACAAAATCAGGCTTGTGCAGTGTAAGCTATTGTGCAACAATAACACAATTGTAAAAACAAAGATACAGTGCATGATCAAAGATTTAGGTGAGATAAATATAGATTTTTGAAAAATTTCTATAAAATGCCCCCCCTCCACCCCTCAAATGAAAAAAAATCCTCTCACAAGAGTCACCTAAGAGAGGGATTCATTTTCAAAAATGAAATGGGGGAGTGTTAGAATGAGCCGTTTTAGGTAGGCGTGGTTGACTCTTAACTTTTATAAAGAATATCTCTTTGGATTTGAGACTTTAGTCTTTGCAACTTTACAGATCTTCTTTATGCACCAAGAGCTTGTAACACTCCAAAGAGAAAGGAAAAATTGAAATCGCATCATATGACCCCTTTAAGTCTGTTTGCTCTGATGAAGTTTATGTATGACACCACCACCTTCATGACTGATTCCCACTTCAGAACTTTGCAGCAGAGTGCTTGCTGGTGAATCAGGCAGTGGACTTGTAACGGTGGGGTTAGACCTCTTTCCTCCATTTCTTTATTCATGCGTCCTATAAGCCCCCTTGACGCGCCAACCATACTAGGAGCCTCGTCAGTAGTGATTCTGGCCAGCTTAGACCAGTCTAGACCCAGCTCTCCCATCGTTTGGCACACTTTACCAAAAATATCCTCCGGTCGTAGTGCCTTTTAGACTTTGTAGGGCTGCTAGCTCCTCTGACACTTCAAAGTTAGAGCTAACTCCGCAAAGAAAAATGAGCAGCTGTGCTGTGTCCTGCACGTCATTGCTCTCATCCAGTGCTAATGCAAAAAAATCAAATTCTTTCACTTTCTCATGCAGCTGGGCATATACATTATCCCCCATTTCTTCAATTCGTCTGGTGACTGTACTTGCGGACAGACTTACCGCATTTAAGACATCTTTCTTATCAGTGCACACCTCCTCCGCAACAGCATTCATACATTTCTTGACGAACTCACCGTCACTGAATGGCCTACTGCTGGTTGCAATCAGTTTAGCTACCTGCTAGCATACTTTTCTCTGTGGCGGGTTTCATAGTGTCGGCGCAGATTGTATTCTTTGAACACAGACACAGTTTCTTGACAGATTAGACAAACAGCCAATTCTTTGCACTGAACAAAAAAATAATCACTTGTGCACTTTTGGTTAAATACCCTGCATTCCGAATCAACCTTTCTCTTTCCCAACCGTTTGGCCATTTTGTCGTCTCTTTGAATTTTCTCGCTGACTCGCGTATCACCTGTTCGATCGCGATGGTACATTATGTTGAACGTACCATTAGGTAAATTTAACAAATAATTAGGCTATGTTAATAACTAAGGGAAATTTTAGTCTGAAAGCCAACCTTTATTATCAAATACAGACATGATATAAGTGAAACCGTATTTAAAATTACATTTTCAAAATATGTCTCTGGCATTATTCAGCGGGGCGGGCCGCATGGGACCCCTGGTGTATACTCTCTGAGTGCACCATGGTAACAACCTCTACCATCCCATTATCTTTTAACGAGTTATTGGCGCCCCTTGCCGTGCCAATACTGCCAATGCAACAATCCTGACACTTCCTGTTTGGGATCTCTGGGGTGTCAACATCGTGCAAATCACAGGCAGATTTCACAAAGCCGAATGATCTCAAAATGAAAACATAAACTAAGTGCTTACACCCTGACACAGATAAGGTATGTAACGCTGGATGCAGCTGATGTATACTCTCAGCTATACTGAGGATGCATACTGCCATGATATTTACCTTCTGTTGTAATGTACATGCACCTGTCACTGCGGAAGACAGGCAGCTGCAGTCATTCATTTCAAAATGTTTCTCTTCTGACTGTATCCTAGTCGTATTCCAGTTTTTTGCAGATAATATGCTATTGTCAAGTACTCCACAGGTTTGTTTCTTATGTGTTGTCATTGCTAGCTAGCGTGCTATCCGGCATTACCTGCATCAACAAACAAGCGTTCAACAACACGCAGTATCAAAATACATATGATTGTTCTTTACTAAATCAGTTGCTTTAGTAACGTTTTGAACTTCACTAACAAACATTTGACAAAAAAATGCCATGGTATTACAGTATTCTTTTTTTCATCCTATAATCACATTTTTTTTTTTTTTACAATAGTATCTGCCATAGTAATTACTATTTTCTTCCTTATAGTACTAATATGATGGCGTTTTGTAAAGTACCTTGCAATGCTATGTTGATATATATTAATTAAATATAGCAATCATTCAGGTTCCGTGGAATTACGATCTCATACTGTATTATGCTTAACATGGTACCACCACAGTAGTGTTCTGTAAGGGTGAGCTGTGATTTATTTGGAGCTTTATAGAGGTTATTGTGTATTGCTGAGATCATAGGTTTCATTTATAGATTAGAAGGCAACTAAATATCAGTTGTAAACGGGTCTCTTTCAGTGTATCAGCACTGTTTTGGCAGCCTGAGGAACAGTAATGAGAATCAGCTGACTGCAGATCTGCTGTCAAAGCAGATAAAAGAGAAATTCACTTGACTTTGTGTCCTTGTTTGCTTCTAAACACTCTTTGTAGCCATAAACTGATGTGTTTGTTTATCTGCAGATATCTGTGTCTTGTCTCTTGAAGCTGGGTGCATCTGCCATGGTATTACAGTATTCTTTTTTTCATCCTATAATCACATTTTTTTTTATTTTTACAATAGTATCTGCCATAGTAATTACTATTTTCTTCCTTATAGTACTAATATGATGGCGTTTTGTAAAGTACCTTGCAATGCTATGTTGATATATATTAATTAAATATAGCAATCATTCAGGTTCCGTGGAATTACGATCTCATACTGTATTATGCTTAACATGGTACCACCACAGTAGTGTTCTGTAAGGGTGAGCTGTGATTTATTTGGAGCTTTATAGAGGTTATTGTGTATTGCTGAGATCATAGGTTTCATTTATAGATTAGAAGGCAACTAAATATCAGTTGTAAACGGGTCTCTTTCAGTGTATCAGCACTGTTTTGGCAGCCTGAGGAACAGTAATGAGAATCAGCTGACTGCAGATCTGCTGTCAAAGCAGATAAAAGAGAAATTCACTTGACTTTGTGTCCTTGTTTGCTTCTAAACACTCTTTGTAGCCATAAACTGATGTGTTTGTTTATCTGCAGATATCTGTGTCTTGTCTCTTGAAGCTGGGTGCATCATGCCGAGCTCCCTCCTGTGGGCTGTTGATGTGTACGGCAGGGTTTATAGCCTTTCGACAGCGGGACAGCAGTGGGAGCATTGTCGCGATGCCCACTTGGAGTTCAAGCGTGTTACGGCTGTACAGCAGTGCTGCTGGAGCATTGCTTGTGACCACAACATCTATCTGTACGTCCATGCCAGTGACGTGCCTATCCGCTACCAAGAGGAGACATTTGAAAACCAGGTGTGCTCAATAGTAATATATGTTATTGGTAAAAAACTGTGAAATCATTAGGGATGGGCAAAAAAAAGATTTTTCGATTAATCGTTTTTTTTTAAATGACGTCGATTTGATATCGATTCTCAAAATTTATTTCAAAAGGATTTATTTCAGCACACATTTAAAACAAGATCTGATTAACGTGAATCTTATCATTAGTCTTCTTCACTAGATGTCACCCTTATTTACCTTGCGCGATGTTACAGCAGAAAGCCTGTCATTCATTCAGCGCTTATCATGGCCGTACGCGCAGTGTTGCCAACTTAGCAATTTTGTTGCTAAATTTAGCAACTTTTCAGACTACCCTAAAGCAACTTTTTCTTCCAAAAGCACCTAGCAACACAGGTCGCTATTTTTACATTTTATTTGGCTACTTTTAGCAACTTTTGATAAGTGACTCAAACAATAAAAAGGCACACATTTTCCATCTAAATTTCACAAAAAGAGGAAACCATTGCTATTTGCAGTTGTTCAATTTGATAATAACAATAATAATTTAATAATTGTTCATTTATGATACACCTTGTTAGTAGCTTGTACATGTGATTGTTGATCAGTTAGTACACTGTAAGAAAAATATCTAGAAAAATGGCAAAGGTACTAATAATTTTCCAGGACATTATCCGTTATCCATTATCCGTTGTAACCCTGTAACCCGAAAACACAAAATACAATGCGTAATTTAAAATGCAGGTAAAAACCTGTGATTTATTTTCTTAGAGTGTAGCATACTGACTACTAATACACTGCTTAAAACTATAATTGTTCAGAATGTGTAGTTTTACTAGCTAATAAAAAAAACTTGTAATCATTCAAAAATTAAATCGTTCAAAAGGGTTCAATGTTGTATATAAAAATAGTTATTTATATTTTAACATTATATTATGCATTTATATTATTTTATGAACAAATCTAAATTAACATTTAAAATATATTTTTGCTGAGATTTGATGTAGTGACACAATTTTGCGTCTTGATTACGTAATGACGTTATCGCGCATGGGGGAGTTGTGGCCTAATGGTAAGAGAGTCAGACTCGTAACCCATACGCGTGATTCGCAATGCTCAAGTGAAGTGCTATAGTAATATATAATAGTACTATAAATCTGCGGAAGAACTACACATACTAAAGCGCGGATGACGCTCGCGGTGTTTTCAGCTTCTGCCGTCTCACTATATGATGATATGAACACGAATGTCATCTCCAGCTGCTCTGAGAGTCACTTCATTAGCATTTTACCAATTCATTTGAGAAAACTACC